TCTCTCTGCCTACGGTTTACCGGGCAGTTCTGTTTGTGACGATATATATCGTCACAAACAGAACTGCCCGGTAAACCGTAGGCAGAGAGGGAGAACAGGACAACAAACGAGGGGCTGTGACAAACTGTTTTGGTGAAACTCCTCATATATATATCATCATATATATATAAACAGTTTGTCACAGCCCCTCGTTTGTTGTCCTCTTCTCTCTCTCTGCCTACGGTTTACCGGGCAGTTCTGTTTGTGACGATATATATGTATATATATATTTGTCACAGCCCCTCGTTTGTTGTCCTCTTCCCCTTCTGCCTACAGTTTACCGGGCAGCTCTGTTTGATGATATATATATACAGAGCTGCCCAGCAAGCCGAAGGCAGAGAGGGAAAAAAAGGACAACGAACGAGGGGCTGTGAGAAACTGTTTCGTTGGAGTTTCACCGACTCGTCAGGAGGCTGAACGCTCTACAGTCTGCAGAGTCCCGTAACTAATAACACTAACCCCGATTGTGGTTAAGCATCAACTACTGCCCAATATATATGTGAATGTTATTGATTGAAACCTACGCTATACAGAATTTATTGATTGAAACCCATGATACCACGCCAGCGTGTCACACTAGGACACAGCCCGGGGCGGGGCGCCGGGGCGGGGCGGGGCGGGGCGGGGGGGGGGGGGGGGGGGGGGGGGGGGGGGGTGGGGGTGGGGGAGGGGTGACTGGTGCAGGGGGAGGAAGTTTGGAGGCAGGGCAGAGGAGGCACGGTGGTGACTGCAGAGAGAGAGAGAGAGAGAGAACAGCAAAATCATCACAGTGTCAGAAGTAGGTTGCAGACTTTGCAAATGACGACGACCTGCCTAGCATATTGAGCCGCAACTTTTGGAGGCACTTGACAATCCATAGTTAGTTATGTGATCCGAAGTCTGAGACTCTCAGCAACTCCTAGCTCAGTTAGCATTTGCAGAATGGGGATATCATGCAAGGTATGCAGTGCAAGTTAAAACAGAGGATGAGGCCACATGCCCTCTATCCTCGGTGGGTGGATGGGAGGTCTGGCGTGAGACCTCGTATCCTATGTCACCTTGCGAAGTACTACCCATATATGTGCCTGCCCACAACTACTGAAATCACAGCAGCAATCAACCAACTCCAATCACTTGTAGATGCACACGGAGAATAGGATCGAAGAGAGAATAAAGTTCAATAAACCAATGCCTCTGCTCCCCTACAAACTCCCAAAGGCCATCTGCAAATTATGACCCCTGTGCAGTTGGGTATTGAGTCCCACTGTCCTCTGCGGAGCAACAAGCAGAAAACCTCCTAAGAATAGTGTCCAACTTCCCTCTGTCAGTCTCTGTCCTGGTATCTCTCGACCATAGACTTCTTCCTAGGCTGCGACCGCCATGTGACAAGAACTTGCTGTCTTTCTTCCCCTATGTCTGTCCACTGCCCTCGGGGGCAACTCCCTTAAACACCATAGCCTGGTAGCTTGCAGCAGCATGACGTGCAAGGCATAAGTCTTCAAACAAGCAGTGGTCAAGCTGTAAGTTTTAGAACAGCCTAGCGACGCCCCACCTAATGTGTGTGTCTGACTGAACTACTGACAGGCTTTTGTAGAAATGTGGCCACCCACTTGCTCAGCCGATGGTTACGAGTCCTGGACGAAGGTCAGGCCCATTTGTTGGGCCAGGAGGCCAGTTCGACTTCTTCCCATGCTGGTACCAAGCAATTTCCCCAGCCAGAGGCCATGCAATTTTGACAGGCGGTGCCATGTGGTTTCCAAGGCACCTTGCTGGCCATTTTAGGCCTACGAGTGTGACCATTTTGCAGGCGGCAGGTGAACTCCGAGGTATTTTACTCGTCTGATTCCATCACAATTCGAAGTCAGGTCTGTGTTTCAACTTTCAAAAGTCGATAGGTATACCAACCGAGCTAGGTCAGTCGATAGCGTAGCCATTGTTGCTGAATTGTCCTGAGGTCATTTGCAGAAAATAGGATGGAAGGACAAATGATTCAAACCGCGAAATAACGAGGAAATTGGAGATCTCACCAAAGCACGCAAACATAGAATATTTGCAAATATGGTACACAGTGGTCCTGCAAAATAATGGGTTCTTGCAGGTCTACTGTCAGGCAGGGAATGCGTTGCCTGCCTTGATGAGACCAGAGGGCAGCTGGTTGAACCAAATACGGTAATGTGTGCACGCTGAGACAAGGACCTGCAGGATGTGAACTGAGGATTACCCTTTTGATGCATGTGTGAAAGCAGCGTTTGGCAACATATTGTCACTTCTTCTTCCTCTCCTTCTTCGTCTTCCTCTCCTCCTTCGTCTTCCTCTCCTTCTTCGTCTTCCTCGCCTTCTCCCTTCTGCTTCTCCTTCTTCTCCTTCTTGTTCTTCCTCCTCCTCTTCCTCCTCTTCCTCCTTGTCCTCCTCTTCCTCCTCTTCTCCTTCTCCTTCTTTTTCTCCTTCTTCTTCATCCTCCTCTTCCTCCTCTCCCTCTTCCTCTTCATCTTCCTCTTCTTTCTTCTTCTTCTTCTTCTCCTCCTCCTACTCCTGCTTTCTTTTGAAGAAAGCATGCATGTGCAGGGGTACGTAGCCTCTGAGAGATGGTTTGCTTGTAATCTCGGGTTGGCGTGCTTTCTGTGCAGGTTGATATGGTTATTCTTCCAGCAACCACGGGGCAGATGGGTGTGTTGCCAGGACATGTCCCCACTGTTGCCCAGCTTCGGCCAGGCGTGCTTTCAGTACATGAGGGTAAAGAGACGAAGCAGTACTTCGTTAGCAGCGGATTTGCGTTCATCCATGCAAACTCGACCACTGACGTCTGCGCCATTGAGGCTGTGCCCCTGGAGGATCTCAATCCGGAGGCTGTGAAGTCTGGTCTGGCCTTTTACACAGAACAAGTGAACCGCGCATCAACTGAGTTAGAAAAGGCAGAGGCAGAGATTGGTGTCGAAGTCCACAGTGCAATGAGCGGGGCGCTCGGATTGTAGCATTGCCTTGACTTGATTGGTACGGACAGGCGTGCATTTCATCCGTGCTCCAGTCCTTCAGTGTGCAACAGGGAGCCCCCCAATGTCCGGCTGCAGATATAAGCCTGCTGGGGTGAGAGGAGCTAGAGAGGAGGGAAGGGAGAGGGTTTCCAACGTAACACAAGAGAGCCCGAAATGCAGCATCAACAAAGTGCAAGGCATCTTTCGTGGTTGATGTGGCGGCATGTGCACTCCATCTTTTCTCTGCCTTTCCTGGTCGAGCAGTCTGTCTGTGGGCCTGGGTTTCAAACTACGTCGATTTCTCTCCCCCAGTGCATTTCTCTGCCTTTCCTGGATGAGCCCGAACCCCTGTTGCTAGCTCGTCCTCTTCCCCAGTGCTTTGTTTTGCTATTAGCTGATTGTGGAGTCTGCGCATTCTCATGTTTATGCTTTTCCCTGTTGCAGTTATTTCCTCTTCACGTATCTTCTCTGCATCCCTGTCTCGCAATGCGATATTTCCTGTTCATGTCTTCTCCAGACTGTTGCTCCCCGACAGTCCCTGTGCAGTAAACGGGTGCGTTGTCTATTGCAGCCCAGATATTCCCCCAACCTTATGACATGACCAGTGAATGAAGGGCATTTTTCCTTCAATTTCAGGATGCGACTACTTTCTTGGTCTTGATGTAAATCACTCGTTTTGGTGCAAACCAGTTGAGATGTGTTATCAGCTGTTTCTCTGCTGGGCTCAAGATTGAGCTTCTCCAATGTGCGTGTCTTTTATGGTGTTTCAGGGCTGAATTCAAGCCATTCACAGACGAGAGGCCTGAGGTCTTTGATTTGCATGTAAAGACCTGGATTGATGTGCTGTGTGTGATTTCGTGAAGTTGTGTGTGCCTTTCCATCGTCCGGTTTGCAGTAGCCTTTGTTCTTGGCCTTTTTCTTTTTTGTATTTCGGGTTGTCAGGCTCTGATTACGGTCGTCTGGTAGTCCAAGCATCGCACACCCTATACTCTCCTGGTCCCACCCTTTTGTTGGCGGCTCATAGTGTTCAGGTAGTGTCGATTGATTTGGATGGAAGTGTTTATGTCAACCAGGATTCGAACTCTTGATCTGGTTATCAACAGCTACCAATGTGCACCGTTCAGCCATGGGACTGGATCAGATGTGCTTTTAAATTTTGTACGTTTTGCCAGACGCCCTATGTATGTTTGTTTTCCCTATTTGCTGCAGGCATTGTTTCCTACTGCTGCTGGTGTTAAAACACCAGTACCTACCGCATTTTTCGTACCGCCCGGCCTGGAATGAATTTGGACCGGAGGGGCAGGCCGGTTCGGCTTCCACGTTAACGGCCGCTCCAACCGGTAGGTACTGGTGGTTTAAAGTGGTAATATGGGTGATTGATTGTACAGAGGGGCACAGGCTTGAGGAGTGTGCTGTGCTGCTGGGGGATGAAAGGAAGGACCCCTTGGGCCTGGCTCAGAAATGGCGATATTGATTGGTTCTAGCACTGCACACAGGCAGATTCTTACAGCTGCTATGCCTGAACTGTGCATGCCTTTCTTCTAATGTCTGCATGCTTGAATGGTTGCTAGCAGGCAGGCTGAAGTGCAGTTGTTCCCCGCCTCCAGAATCCATCTACTGTTGGGATGGAAGCAGCGGTTGTATATTTATTTATCTTGGGAAGTATCTCCCATAGCAGCAGAATGGTCTGTCACCCGTGCACTAACACGTTATCACCAAGTTTGATTATGAATGCAGTAAGAGTATGCATGCTCACACTAGGCAATTATAATTACAGAATAACAAAATCAGTGGCCAGCCGGATCGAGTCCTCCTTCGAGAAGGACTCAGTATAGCCACTGATTTGCGATTCTGCAATTACGAGGGCCTACCAGCTTCTCACCCGAATACAACGTTCATTGTAGCTGTATTTGGGGCAACTTTCGGACCGCGTGTGGCGATAATGACCGGGCATTTTGTTCGGGTGAAGATGTGCGAGTATGCGAGCATCATCATGATCTCCCTCATCCATCCAACGAATACCCAAGGCACTACCAACATCTTCCAACAGCCGGCAAGGTATTTTGGAGACACTTTACTTTCACTTTGATCTAACTGCGCCCACCCATTACCACAAGCATCCTTCCCTATCGGTGTACGTTTGCATTTCAGGTACGGTCCTCAGAAGTTCCAAAAATACACTTGAATTCGGGTATAAGACACACATGGGCTCTACAGTTTTCTCGAACTCCTGGTCAACACTCGCAGACTGGGAAGAGCGCAGATTGACGGGTCTATTACATTTTCATACGAGGGACATGTATTCCATTCCCATCAAGGGAAATTTTGCATGGGTGGAGTTGAATTCATGTCCGATGCCCTCTCAATGCAATCCCTTTTGTCTTTAGTTGTGAAGCCTGCTCTCCACAAACTGACAAAGGCTTTTACCTTCAGTTTTTGTTTGGAAATTGTCCAATCCTCCTTGCATTCCTCCATTCCACTTGGTATTTCATGCCATCCTGCTTATTGTGTCTGTAAGCTCAGGCCTCTCAGGGAGTCTGTAAAACCAGTCGTCGTTAAATGATAGGTGGTCTATCAAGTGAAGACAATGGATCTCAGGGATGGCTGATCTGCCGTTCACGGCATCTTTCAGAGCTTGTTCAGGTCGAAACAGCGGGGAAATCACCTCAACCACGCCTTGTTCTCTCTAACCCAGTCAGGAACCCAAAGGATTGAGGACAACATAAAGTCCTGATATAGAACGATAACAAGTATTTCACTGACTAAAATAGGTAATGAGATGGTTGCAGACACCTGAGAATAGAATAATTATTGCACAATTTTTTGTCTTAAAAAATGAATGGTTAAGGGACTCCGTCCTGTCATGATATGTTTATGAACACATTTCGATATATAGCTTCAGTACACGAGGAAAAATCATTCATGGATTTGATTACAACACTTTGTGCGCCCAGTGTCCCAGTATAATAATTGCATTGAAGGTGGTTGGTCCAGGAGGCAGCGTACGAGAGAGGTCCGTGGACCTCTCACACATGCAATCATTTTGCTCTTGTTTTTTGTTCTTTGACAGGGACCTTCCTTGACTCTTGCCCAGTGCAGCCGCCAGGACAACCAAGGGGTTGAAACTTTTATGTTAATAACCCTCTCCTCCAGTCCACTGTTTCAACGTAAATTAGAGTGGTGTGGAGAAACCTTTTGTATAAGAAGGGTCCATGCAACTATGCGCAATATGTTCTCCCCGAACCAAATGAGAGGGAGATTGAACCACCGCTCCCTCCAACGGCAACAAATTTGGGGGACCGGTAGCAAGGGTTGAAAAACCGACATCCACCGCTCCCTCCAACGGCAACGAATTTGGGGGACTGGTAGCAAGGGTTGAAAAACCGACATAGTGGGAAAAGTTGAAAAACTGGTAGCACAATTCGAAAAAACCGACATAGTGGCAAAAATTGAAAATGTGTTGAATTATCTACACAATTTGTTTTGTGACAGTGGCACTGGTCTATAAAGATAGGTATAACAAGTGACTCTCACCCATGCCCACGAAATGGAATCGTACCAGTTATTACAGCAAGCACAACATGATCTTCATCAAGGCACCGTGCTCAAGATTACAATATCCAAAGACACTCTCATCCATAGCGATGAAATGGAATCGCACCAAAGTTTACAGCAAGCGCAACATGATCTTCATCGCGATACGGTGCTCAAGATTACAACATCCAAAGACTACACATGTATTATCTATTTTTGGTTCACCTAGGCCACCATTACACCACATATGGAGCCGGTGAGATGTCCCAATTGTATAAATATTAGGTGAGGGGTTACTGGCATAGACCAGACATGGAGTGGGTGAGATTTCACAATCGTATGAATATTTGGTTAGGGGGTACTGACATCTTTATTGAACCGGATTTTGACTGATTAGCCATGTTGTTGAATGCATCGGGCCAAAGTGCACAAGTGAGGTATAAGGGCCCTCCCAACTGCGCCGCGTAGGAATTTTGTCTTTTGCGCACGCAAAACGTAAAGATTATGATTTATACTTCTCACAAGTCTCTTCGATAGGGTATGGTGTCATGAGGTATTACTTACCTCAAATTGTGAGAGTTGTCACCATGTCTAGGTGGGTGTGTCCCCACCGAGCTATTGATCCACATGAGGTGACTTCGTGGTATAATCAGAGGTGGAGTAGCTGAGGGCGTGTCTCGTACGTTGTAGCACATATGGTAAGCGTGGCTAATGCCCAAATTAAACGTGCACGTAAACTGCCACTTGTGGCGCTAATCTCCTAAATGTGGTCCAACGCTGATCGACCAGGACGATTAATATAACCACATGACCCAATTTTCCTTTAGTCCAAACCTATAGGAGCATGCTTAGTCTTTTTGCTTCCAGTAACTTATTATTGCATAGTACTTGCATCATAAATTGCATGGGTTAATATACCTACAGCGATGATGCAGAAATGACACCATGCCACTTAGATATGTGAAGCCCCATAGTTTTTAGTTAAGTCGATGCATTATGCGAAACTCATAATCACGCACTCCTTCGTGGATCTTATGGTTGCGCACAATACTTGAGTGTTGACTAAAAAGTATTACAGGGGTTATATCCTTGGACTATCTGCGATGGTTGAGACTGATGGGATACCCTCATCTTAAAAGTGAATTTGTAGGCTGGACGTGGACTTTGAATTATGCTCGCGGACCTAACCGCCGAACCGTTAAATCAACAAGCAAACCCGTCAACCCACTTATACCTCTTCTCTAACCCTGTTAGATTAGAGTCAGATGCAAGTCGACAAGGATCCCTCTCGACCCAGCAAGGTTTACGCAACACACTTGATTGTTTGTGGACACATATAACAAAAGGGAAAAAATTATCTAGGCAAGAGGATTTGTATAACACTCGTTAGTGAATCTCACTGCCACAAATGTGGCTTGTCCATCAATGCGACATACTTAAACATGCGTCTTAAATCAATTCAAATTTTCCAACATACCTGCACAGACATGCACCTCAGCCACAACAACGGGCTGTGCACTGCGGGGATATATATATCGTCAAACAAAACTGCCCTTAATATATAAGTATATATGTATTATTTTAAAGAAACTGACGACCTCTAAATAGCGGTCATCCTGACGGCGTGGCACAAATTGCGTGATCTACCTTTCAACAACGTCCTATAAAATCATAAAAGGGTAACACTAATAAACATATATATCAATGTTTAATCTTTGTGAAACAAGATACATCATGTGAACTATTCCTTTTCATGCAACAATGCATAATATGATGCATGTAACTAGGCGAAGAGGGGTGAATGATGCAAAACAGAAAAAGAATTATGACGTAAAAAATACAATGATGGATGCGGAGGATATAATAAAAAAAGATTACAATAAATATACCAGCGACGAAGAAGCCGATGCAACAATCAAAGATGAAAAAATGGATAAGAAAACCAAGGAGGAGGAGAAAAAGAAGACGAAGAAGAAGGGGAAGAAGATTAAGACTAATAAAGTATCACCAAAAGAAAGTTTGAGGTTGCTAATATGATGAATTAAAATAAGGTCATATTGATGCAATCCGGGGGCGAATCGCTCTGTGACTCTCCCGTGTGAGATGTCCTTAAATCATTTTGTCAAACGTCATGAAAGCATTCATTCCACGAGATCTTCCTCGATCTAAAAAAAAGGTCCAGTTATGGGCATATTTTAACGATACCTCTTAATGAAGTTACAATCGTAAACAACGTGATGACTCCTCCAAGGGACGAGGAAGGTACATGACACAAGTGCATAAGTAACAGTGATGAGTGCTCGAATGGACAACATCGGTATGGCCTTGTTCATCAGTAGTGAGACGTGGATTCGCTGCTCAGCAAACCCAGTTCAGTGTTGTATTGGGAAAAACTTCGGGAGTACGTCGATATTTACAATCGTGCGAACTGATAGCGCAAATAAGGAAATTGTCAAGCTTGCTTGTTCAATAGGCCGAGATACGTGGGTAAAGCAGCATATATTTCATAAAATTTCAACACATGAATGATGGTACTAATCATCCATATCATTATGTGACTATGTTCATGTTCCTTTCATGGGGTATAACCCAATTAGGTTAATTGTTTCAGAACGGACCGTTTTGACCTTTCTTACAAAAGTTCGGACCATCTATACCACTCTAGATGGTGATCGGATTGCAGACATGCATTACACTTGAATCAAATATGAAAAAAATAAAAGAAAAAAAGAACTTATTTTGAAAAAATTACATCGGACTTTGAAAGTATCACTATGAATCTGAAGTAGAGCTTGGTAAATTGTACATTAAGTAATTGCAATCCCTTTAGAGCCTTACATATCGTCCCTCCTTCAAGTTAATACAAAGGAGGGTTTGGGGTTGAACTGCCCTTAACCCTCAAGTCAGTTTCTGCATGCATCGAGGTATTCATTGAAGTGACATGTTAAAATCCGCATAAGAGATACAATTTCTCTTCAGGAAATGAATACAATTAGCAAGAAACAACACACCTCAACCCTGTGTATGTGTGTGTGTGCATTAACGATAACCCATAATACGCAACTATATTACAACCATTCAATCATAGGCTAATGCGTGCATCCAAACTCATATTCTTTATCATCAGGAGTTGTAATGAAATCAGTTTGATGATATCGTTTTGAACGTAACCACGCTTCCTTATTCTTTATCCTGTTGACTTTGTATGGGCGATATGCTATTAGACATTAACATAGGCTAACATAACTATTCCCTAAAGATCCGCA